CTTACATCTATTGTAGCTCACTCATCTGTCAATCGTCGCTTATTTTTACTGATAATAACAGATCGGTGTTGACGTACGAGTTAATTAAACAAACACCTTGTTATTGTCTTTATTTAGAAGTTGATTACTGTTTGGCATTTCAACAAATAATTGCTAGTTTGAAATTTGAATGTGAATATCAGTACTGTGATAAAATTATATACAACTGTTGAGTCTCAACTAAAAACAAACGAAACTCCTGGATTCTACTGCTAACAACTGTTTAAAATGTTATTTAAGTATATATATGTTCATAAGTAAAAGTTGGCTCTGATTTAGTTACGTAGTTCATGCTTGTATCTTGGTTGGTTGGGCTGTAACCATGTGTTTCAGTTGGTTATCGCCTCCTTTTAGTATTTCTATCAGCTGTAACATTTGTAATACCCCTTCATTTGTATTTTTTACGTTTTTCCCAACTAAATAATTTACAGGGTAGCCCTACTTGTCAAAAATGGAACATTGAACTATTGCAACAAACACAATTTATTCAAGATTTATGCCGGTTACTTAAATCAGTTACCAATGATTTGGGTAATCGTTCACGTAAAGTAATTCAATTTTATGTGTTTTCCTTATTCATTAAAAAAAGTATAATATATTTTCCTTTAAAAAAATCAGAATTTCATTCCTCAATTTATTTGTAATTTTGTTACTACTGCACGTAAACACGTCAACTTGATATACTTGAACCATTACGAGTTTACCTAGTCGGAAAAACGAGAGCGAGGATCCGGCGACACGACATGCTACTCAAATCCGATTATCCCAACCCCCATATTTAGTAAAAATAAGAAGACGTGATATGAAGTAGAACCTGTATTCTACAAGCATCCAGAAAGCACGAGGTCCGAGTCCAGAAGAGAATCAGGATCCCGGACTAGGGATCCGGGACCGGGTCCTAGTCCTGGTCGTGGTCATAAAACGTTACAGATAATGCGTATTTATACATTTTGGTCGAATAGGAAACAGCATCGAAGTCTGTGACATTGACAGTTAAGACGACCAATAGGAAGCAACATTTGAAGTGACATTGATAGTCAGGACAACCAATAAGAAACAACATTGAAGCACGTGACATTGATATCTAGGACGACCATAAAATTGACCAGTATGAATTGACCAATAATTCTCTTAGGATATTGGATGAATATCCTAACAAATTTGTACCTAAATTATTGCAGATACACGTCTCAATATTTATGTACTTATGATTCTTATTGTGTTTTCAATGAACTGTAAGTTCAGCAAGTGATTAGTTTTATACGAAAACATAAAGGTCAGTCAATTTAATTGTTACCTGCCTGTCTATTAGTTCACTCATGGATTGTACTTAGGATGATCTACCTGAAACGACAGACTACTAATGAAAGAGTTGTATTTTTTTTCTCAAACATTTATTATACTTTATTTCATTGTTTGTGTTGAATTGTTTATTTAGAATACTAGATTCATACTTTTCACAATCAAAGTTTACCATTGAAATACCGATCACATTGAATTAACTGAAATAGAAAAATCTATTTGCTTGTGTTAATTAATGTTCATAAAATTAGTAAATTAAACTAGTGAATTTATATAATTGTTTTTACTTCATTCTATAGATTGAATTATTAAGATCAAAATTGGACAGTGAAGAATATGCTCATATTAGACAGATTGATAAACCATTTCCACTTCCTTTAAATCCGGATATTATTGTATGCGGTGTACAATCATCTACAGCTACATTATTCAAGGTTAGTTCGTATGTGTGCTTGTCTTTGTCATTATGATGAAGCGAGTAGGAGATGGTTGGAAGAAAGCTAGAGGCGGCCAAACCAATACATGGCACAAATCTTTGAAGTCACTGACATATGGACTAAGCCATGTGGGTAGGTATAGACTACCAGTCTGGGGTCCGTGAGACAATAGTAACCGATGATTAGAGACCCTGAACGACATAGCTCAAAACTGTTTGCCATGGTGTATCCATTCTTTGTGTGCTTGCAAATTCTAATCTTCTGCATTCCTCATCACCTCCCTTTCTTAGTTATTTTACTGAATTATACTTCTTGAATAATATCTTCGAACTTTAATCTTCTCTATTACCGCTAATACTTCTACCAGTATGGGATTTCAACTGATGACTGCGTCTCTGTGCTAATGTGGCATGGCAACTTGAACCAATGTACGTACGTAGGAAGTTCTACATCGTAACTGACTGACTGACACCATTCAATTGATCATCTTTGATAGCATCGTTTTAAAGATAGTAAATTGAAAATTGAAAACTATAGATTATAAAATAGTAAATATGACAAGCAATTTTTAGAGGTTCTTATCCTTTCTAATTGCTCTTTCAATAACTCGGTTTCTAGTTTTTTCTTTCATCCTGCTTTTTACGTTTTAGGAGTCATGGGATACCTCAAATCTTTATATAGTTTGTTTGTCAATGCTTATATCCGCCTACTAAATTTTATGAAATAAAATGAAGAGCTTTACTCTTAGAGTGCAGCAGTAGCTCAATAGTTGAGGAGTTTGACTTGTAGGCACTACATCGGTGGTTCGAATCTCACTGCGATAAATTCAGTCTGGACATTGAAGAAATATCATTAACTCTTACTTATAAATTGCAGCTCAAAACAAGCCCCTCGAATATGTACGTGGTAAATATATTCCCTCTCAATGTCAGAAAAATTAATCCAGAAGCAACAATGATTCATGAAATTTTTCTAATGTCAGTTACTAAATTTTTAAATTTTATGTGAATATTTCATAATTTTTATTTTCAATAATTTTGTTATACACTTAACCATCGATTTTTTGCAGAGTTTTCAGCGACCCGCTTTACTGACATTTATCCAACCAAATGGTGATACGTATCGAGCTATTTTAAAACATGGTGACGATTTACGTCAGGATCAATTGGTTTTACAAATGATTGAATTAATGGATGTTGTAAGATATTATTTTTAATTTATCCTTTGAAGTTGCTTATTCTTAACAGGCCCTTTGTAGCTAACACTTGAAAGATAATAGCTTTGTTGGCTTAGTGTATTATAATTTCTACATAATAAAATTCAGATAATTTTACGATTGAATTTTATATACATACCTCCTTGACACTAGAAAATGTAAAATAATCTTTAAAAGTTGAATATCCCATTAATAATAATACTTTGAAGTTCATGATGTCTAAGGAAAGAAAGCCAACCGTTTGTCTTAATGGTTTAACTCCTAAACAGTAATTTTCAGTAAGACACTATGCGTTAAAATTTATATTGCAGGAGTATATATGAATATAATCCGATCCTAAGGCTATACAAGCTTCCTATTCGCGAACTCGATAGATTATGTGATTAATAAGACTGAGCGGGAAGGAAACTGTTTCTCGACCAACATATAGATATATATTTACCTTTGGAGACCCAAGCCTACTTTTCTCCATCATTCAAATGTCTCATTCGTTAGAAAAGGAAGTCTTATCTTGCCCACTTACATAAACTTATCATTTAATCGATATTTGATTGACTATTCAAATCTTTGCAATTATCGCTGAATTTGAAGCTGACCAGGATGAGACAGTTTTCTTTTTCAGAAAAAAACTTTTTATAGTTTTCAGTGATCCTCCAGTTAAAAATCAATCCATTTCATTTCCGTATTCTACTTTTCCGTTGAATACATGACCATCGTTATTCAGTTCAACGGAGTTTTCAATTGTATTCCCTTGTTATTTCTTTTATAATTAATCTTATTATTTCGAAAACGATTGTTTGACTTGAAAACTTTTCATGCCTTTTTCATGCCTTCTTGATCTGTTATCATGAATACCAACACATTATGATTATTTCATAATTTTTAGCAATAAATTTCACTTCTGTCTGTCTGTTCACCACTTCTTCTTGTAAATGGTTCATTACTTTCTAAAGCTTCTTTGTTTAAATTGAGCTTGTAAGATTTTACAAAGTTTACTTACTTTCGCCTATTACTCCCAATGGAGCATAGGCCGCCCACCAGTTTTCTCCAACCAACTCTGTCCTGGGCTTCCTTCTCCAGTTCTGTCCAATGTTTGTTCATTCCTCTCATATCTTTCTCTATTTCTCGGCGTAGTGTGTTCCTTGGCCTTCCTCTCTTCCTTTTGCCTTGAGGGTTCCATGTGAGGGCTTGTCTCGTGACGCAGTTAGGTGCTTTTCGTAGTGTGTGTCCTATCCACTTCCACCGCTTCTTCCTGATTTCCTCCTCCACTGGAATCTGACTTGTTCTCTCCCATAGTAGATTGTTGCTCATGGTGTCTGGCCAACGGATCAAATGTATTGTGCGAAGACAACTGTTAATAAGCACTTGTATCTTGTGGATGATGCCTTTCGTAGTTCTCCATGTTTCCGCTCCATACAGCATAACTGTCTTGACATTTGTATTGAAAATCCTTATTTTGGTTTTGATTGATATTTGTTTGGAGTTGCAGATATTTTTCAATTGTAAAAATGCAGCCCTTGCTTTGCCGATCCGCGCCCTCACATCTGCATCGGATCCACCTTTCTCGTCAATGATTCTGCCAAGATATGTAAAGGTGTTAACGTCCTCCAAGGGATGTCCATCAAGAGTGATTTGGTTGGCGCATGTTGTATTGTATCGTAGAATCTTGCTTTTTCCTTCATGTATGTTGAGACCTGCTGCTTCAGAGGCTGCTGCTACACTAGTCGTCTTCTCTTGCATTTGTTGTTGAGTGTGCGATAGAAGAGCCAGGTGATCTGCGAAGTTCAGATCGTTCAGCTGCGTCCTAGCTGTCCAATTGATACCGTGCTTTCATCCAGACGTTGACGTCTTCATAATCCAGTCGATCACCAGAAGAAAGTGAAATGGTGAGAGTAAGAAACCTTCCCTGACACCGGTCTTCACCTCGAAAGAGTCTGTTAGCTGTCCTTCGTGTACGATTTTGCAGTTGAATCCATTTTACAAAGTATCTATGATTATTTATACCAGTAGAATTAATTCACCTATGAATGATTTTCACAACACTGCATATTTGTATGAATTTTTTCTGTCCGTTCTAGATCCTTCGCAAAGAAAATTTTGACCTTCGACTTACACCGTATAAAGTTTTAGCTACAAGTAGCCGTCACGGTAAATTATTCATGTAATAATTTCATTTTTTTAAAAATTAGAGTTATGGAGATTGTTGTTTATTTCTGCTGCACGGTACACTCGTCCTTTTGTTAGCATACAGATATTTCACCACCATTAGAAACTTCATCAGTAGTGCGCATCCACAACTCCTGCTCCTCGCAGGATACGAATCCAGGACTTTCGGTCTTGTGCGTGAACGCCTAAACTCTGGACCACTGAGCCTACATCCAGCGGTGTTAAATTCTAACTCTGATCGATCTAGGGATTTGGTGCAACTTCATCCATTTGTCTTCGGTGATTACTGCCTACACTCGACGGGGTTGAACCCCACTGATCACGTTCATTTTTATTTATATCATTTTCAGTCATTTTATTTTAAAAGTTTATGATATGTTCAGAATATTTACGATATGGTACCGACGAATGCAACGTTTAACCAACGACATAATAACAAAGCTATGCTATTCCTCTGCTTACCGGCCCAACTAACTAGAGGAGGAAGTCCAGAGTTAGCAGGAATTACATATAATTCCACAACCAGTCCGTAGGAATGAACAACAAACACTCAAAGTAGGCGTAATATATCCATTAAAAAATGTTATTAAAAAGCGTTACAAAGTATTGTACTAAAACAAGAGACGAATCAATGATATTTGAGATCCTTCCAGGTGGAGAACACAAACCGAACATAATAATGAACACTTTTGGCGCAAAACTAAAAATATCCAAATTTTCACAATAAATTACAAAAATATGAAGTGTACCAAGTGATTTTTGAGGATATAACATCCTCAGCATATCCCTTTTTCATTATCGTTGAAATAAGAAAGATTGTGATCTGAGCTCAAAACGAGTCGTTTTATTTTATTATTTGAGCTAGTTGTCTTTACTGGTATAATTACTTCTGCCAGTTTATCAAGAGGTTTGATGAGGAAATAATGTTTCAATCCGAAAAAAATAATCTTTTATTTCGTTTTTTTTATTTGTTCCATATAGGTTTAGTTCAGTTCGTAGAATCCGTTTCATTAGCTGATATTCTTCATCGTTCCACATTACTAGCTTATTTACAATTGAAAGCTCCGAGTTCGAATGGTCCTATGGGTGTTCAGAAAGATGTTATGGAAACGTATATTCGTTCTTGTGGTATGTTTCTTTGTCGCCAATGGTAAACTATCTTACATCAATAAAATACGTTCATAAACAAGAACATTACCAACACATACGTTGATATTTGTTAATCAAGGATGGAAGTCTGTATAAATCATAATCATAATAGATTGGTTATGGAATAACTAACAGTATTTTGATAGTTGAAGGACATAACTACTTCTGACAGTGTTACTGTTTTATTATTTATCTACAAAGCAGTTAAAGCAATGGTAGAGTACTGATTGTTGATAAATTGAAAATTCCTTACTAAAAAGATTGATTTCAATGTGTAAAAACACTAATCTCCATTTAATCAGAAAAATCGTAAAATGTGCTCACTAGTGACTACTTTCGTGAGGAAATTTTCGGAGTTCTATTAAGAAGACGTGACCAGGGGAGTTCAACCCTGTCGGGTGTAGGCAGTGACTACCGAATAAAAATGGGTGAAGTTGTTCAAAATCCCTCGATCGATCAGAGTTAGAAATTAACACCGCTGGGTTCCGAAATAGGGGTCCAGAGGTTAGACGTTCGCGTGCATGACTGAGGGTCCTAGGTTCAAATCCTGTGAGGTGCGGGAGTTGTGTATGCTCACTGCTTATGAATCCCATATCACGACGAAGCAGCCATCCAGATTTTGCAGGTTTATTACAGTGGTATAACAATGATCGATTGATAACCTCAATGTGTAAAAAGAACCTGTTTGGGTGAGTTCCTGTAACAAGTATAGGCAGAACGAAGTAGACAAGATGATGCAGATGAAGTGGTGATTAGGAATGAAGTAGCTTCAGTATAGGAAGAGTTAAGGTCTATTCCTTTTCAATGCCTCTGTTTCCATTATTTACTAAATCCACGCAAGTAAATTTCTTTGTGCTTGAATTCACAATTTTATTCTCCAATACTATCGTGTTTGGTTGAATTGTTATCTGTTCTCCAATTCTATGTTATTCGTACCGGAAAGGAATTATGTGGACAATTAGTGAACTAGTGTTCTTGTGTATCCATCTTTTGTGGTCTTTAGTATTACCACTCTCCAAATCAGTCATAAGCAGCAGCATAGAGACTGGAACATGCTTACATCACAGAAAATTTCATCATTATATATTCATGAAGCAAGTCCCCCACTTTTGCATTTTTATAAACATCTTCACTCACTATATGGTATTTCTTCTCTCTAAAATATCTCCTGCTTACCCTCAATTGTTTTATTAAAGAAACTACAATATTTTTTCCTTTTTCTTTTGACAGCTGGTTATTGTGTCATCACTTATCTTCTTGGCGTAGGTGATCGTCATATGGAGAATTTACTACTCACTGCTGATGGTCATTTATTTCATATTGATTTTAGTTTCATTCTTGGCGCTGATCCTAAACCAATGGCACCTGAAGTAAGATTGACTCGTGCAATGATCGATGGTATGGGTGGTCCTAATTCAAATCAATTTAATGAATTTTGGAAAATCACTTTTACAGCTTTTCTTATTTTAAGACGGTAAGTAGTTTATAAATAACTGATTTACTATTTTTGATAAATAGTGAAAATTTACAAGTATGTTTGATCGATTTTCTATGTACTAATATATTCCCATTAAGTTGGGATATTTTATCAAATATCCTAAAGAAATCATTTTGTGAGTCTAATTCTATTGATCGATTACTATTAGTCAATATTTAAGGACGTCCTAAATATCAAGTTCACATACTTCATGTGTTGTTTCCTATTGGTTAGTTTTCATAGTCGTCCTAACTGTGTATTTAAACTCGATTGTGTGTTTGTAAACCTCATATTTTCTGGATGCTTGTAGAATACACGTTCTACTTCATATCAAAACCTTTCCTTCTACTAAGCAGGGGCTTGGGACGCTCGGATTACAGTAGCCTATTGTGTCACTGGATAATGTGTAATCGCTCTCGTTTACCCACTAAGGCGAACTCGTAATAGTTCAAGCATATCAATAGACGAGTATAACACACTGTTAACTTGAATATAAGCATTATTATTATTACTTAAATCTAAGTCTATTTGCATCTTTATAATTGATTGATCACTGAGTCTGTCAGGTCCTTCTTAATGCTGATCGAATTCTATCGGTCAAGTTACAGTGTAACCAAACTAGTCTAGCTGATTCATGATCGCATGAATTATGTTATAACTATTTGCTTCAAATGTTCCATATTATATATGCATAATTTTCAACACAATTTATCGTCATATTGCGACTAGTGTTTATTAAATAACCGTAGCATTTATTTTTATCGGTCTAATTTATATTCAATCCTTCCATTCAAATATTTTTGCAATTTCCATCTCTGAAGTTAGTAGAATGCTTTTTAGTAGTTTAATCCCTTCAACAAATAAGTTTGTAGATAATGCGAATGTTGAACCACTAATTCCGACATTCTCAGTTTCATGCACTTGATTATATAGCACTACTCTTCCCAAACCTATTAATAAGGATTGTTTGTACAGTTTCGAATGTTTCAGTTATTAGCTGAAGGCTTTCATATGATTTTTGCCCATAGATGAAAAGTTATTTTTGATTATTTGTCTTTTAATTATTTATACTTTACAGTACTCAAACTTTGATCAGTAGTTAACATTGTTAGTCATTTCTTTTTATTTATTATACAGGCACGCGAATTTATTCTTGACTTTGTTTTCCTTGATGTCAAACACAGGAATACAAAGCTTTAATGGTCAACAAAATAATGCATCTGAATTTTTAAAAGAACATTTCTGTGTACATCAGTCAGAAGAGAAAGCTGTTAGTCGACTAGCTAATCGTATGACTGAATCTATCAAAGCTATTGTACCAGATATTATGGAAAGGATACACACTATTGTACAAGTAAATAATTGGAATTTTATTGGGATTAGTCAATTTCATGTTTTTTCTTTAAATGAATTAGTAATTGTGTGCGAGATTAACGAACACGTCACAATCGTATCTAAGCAAGTTTTTCCTTTGACAGGGGAGACTTCTTTGATCGTGTTCATAGATTCTTCTCTTCTACGTTCTTTTCATCAGAGATATTTCCATTGCTTATATAGGCTTATTCTAATAAGTGGTTTATAGCCTTAATCTCAAATATTCCCTGTACTTTAAGCAATTTCGTAGGTAAATTAGCGGTCGCATGTATTTATTAAACTTTTGTGTTTGTTTCAGTCAAACATTAACGTTAGACCTGATGCAAATGTATGTTGGGTCAAGTTTTCACACATTGTATCAGCACAAGTAGGAGGAAACATTACAAGATGCAAAGCAACGGGAAGTAAATCATATAGAGAATAATGGGAATCTAAACATGAAAAATTCACTTCATAAGCAGCAAATACCATCGAAGTATGTATAGTTAGGGATGATCGTTGACTAGAGATTTGTAAAAGAAATAAAAACAAAAGTAATCATGCTACTGCAACGGATTCCACATTGTGTTACTAACCAACAGTCTAAACCAGAATGTCTTGACCTATTGATATGGCTTCCTAAATTGGTGTGACATTGGTCTCCAGTTTTTTTTCAAAACTAGTCCTATGTCACTTGGGATTGGGTGGTACGGTAGGTAGTGACTAGGCATATTTAACATGTATGAGTTAGTTGTAGAATACTGCCATCGTAACTCTGACCCTCACCAGTATTAACTAAGGAAATAAGAACCTAGTATCCTTTCGAACGTCCTTCACTTTCTAACCATAACTACAATGAAAGTTGTAGTATTTAAAATCGATCGATAAATTTTCGTCTTTCTTATCGTAGTTGATTATTAGATCACTTGTCATGGGTAAACTTTTGTTATATGTCTAAGGGAACATGGGTGGTTTATCATTATATCCTACACTGTCATTGATTCTCGTGGGCTCAGTAAATGTAAACCTCTGTACTGATGAACAATTGTTTTGTACCTTGTCATGATTCGAATTTCTATCGACTTCAATCATTACACCAGTTTGCAATTGTATTATGTATGTTTTAAAAAGAATAATATTACTTAAATGAATATAGTAACTCAATAATGTGTCCTTTCACTAGGTGAATATAAGTTTCTGTTTTAATAATTCATAATTGTAAACTTTGATTTCTGTTTTTTCTCTCGTTTATAGTACATGAGGAACTAATCAAATCTTTCAATAATTTTATTGTGATATCTATTCATATTCAGCAATTCTTTCATCAAACCAATGTATTTAAAGTAACAAAACATGATAAATTTTCATTTGCAGTCAACAATAACAAAACATCACATTATTTCTTATCATCATTATCTAATAACTTTTGTAATAATGTATGTACATGCATAATAATAATAATAATTTTGGTTATTGAATTATTTTGTATAGATTACTCTTCTTTAGTGTATGAATCAGAATTGAGCGATAAATCCAACATTTCAATTCCAGAGTGTTGTTTAAGATCTAATGTAGTTGGCTGTTTGTTTAGAAAAAAAATAAGGAAAACATAACTAACATGTGTAAGAACTGATAAAGAAATTTTGTAAAGCCGCATTCTTCAATTATTTAATGCATAGATATGTTGAGATTTAAGAAAATATGTCAAGCAGTTACTCGGGTAAAACTGTGATTAGTTTTCTTTGGTATGGGGTGCATTTAATACAAACAATTTACCAAATCTTAAGAAACTTTTTGTGATCTAAACATACAGCGCGATTGGAAGTTTAGTTATGTTCAATTGAGCTCTTTATCATGATAATGCTCATATACTTTTAGTCTAGACTGCTCACCAGCATTCGTCTACTACCATATTTCTTCTAAACATCGCTTTTATTGATGATAACATAGGACTTCAGCTCACGTTCAACAGATCAGACTTATGCAACGTCGAATCTGTATTTTTTTTCTACATCAGTTCGAGTTTCTATTACCACATAACACATCAAAATGAAATTATCCGAGGCTAGTAGAAATGTTATCAATAACAGTAAGAAAGATTAAAAATACGTGGTAGTATTCGACAGAATGAGTTCGTGGAATAGAACGTAATAGAACTAATAAAATTGACCTTCAGCATCTATTTTTCACGAAATATAGTGAAATCTATGATTAATTGTTCGCTATAAACCGGTATTCAGAGACCATGTTTAAGATCGAAGACATAGTTCCTTATTTTATCTAACCTTAATTTAGTCAGTGTCCTATCTGAGAGTATGTATAACACGTTGTAGGTAACTTATTCGGTGTGTATACATATATAATTATCCAGTTAAGTGTCTTATATCATTTTAACAACATTTGACATAAACCGATTGGGTCACTAAGCAAATCAAAGACAGTTCAGTTTAGAAACTATCATGTAACTTATACTTTTGACACTTGAAATTTCCGATGATCGTGTTAATGACACAGCAACCTATTTTATTATAAGTTTATATATAAAGTTAATCATCACTACGACTAAATATCGTCAAAAAAATGTTTGTCCTAAACTGTATTTTGTTTAGAACATGTAGTTGGCAGCTTTTTTAATGATAATTTTCTAGAAATATCAAAACTACACGAAAAATAAAATGTCTGAAAAGAAGCTTACTGCACTGTTTGTATTGTATGTACGCTTTTCCTCTCTTCCATAGTTTTGTTGCTTTTTGGAGCAAGAAGGTTTAGGCGTTTCTGTCACTGTGTGTATAGTATCGTGTTTCATTTGTTCTGTTGAGAAAAGAACATTGATTAAACTTTTAAATTTGATAGAAATATCTACACACTTTATGTCATCTATATTTATATGTTTTGCTGACCTGTGACAAATAATACAATAGTTAATTAGTTTCGTTGTATATTTAGCTAATGCTCCTTTATTCTCTTTGTTAAAACTGCAGTCAGTAATCAGTTGAGATTTCTTTATTGCAACTCTAAAGTTGAATTATAAAACAGTTGATATTAAGATGATTCTGAAATATCATAGCACTAAATTAGTCTCTATGTTTCGAATTATTTTGCAACACCTTGCATATAATTGAGTTTACTTACATTTAATTTGGTTACAAGCTTTTATTAACTTATTTAACAGATAGAATCCATCATTTGAACAGCTACAGCTTGTCTGTACGATTGTATATTTATAACGGTTGTTCTTGTATGAGCATTGGTTACAGCCTATGCCTTAATGTTAGTCACTTGCATAATATATATATATATATATATATATATATATATATATATATTCATCCGCTCCTGCGCACTCGCATATCATTTCACTTCGCGTGCTTGTAGTTTTTTGACCGATATGATGCAATAATAAACGCCATTCACACTTTGTATTGATCTTCTGAATTGTATAAACCGTTCGACGTTATCTATCAGGATGAACAGTATACGAAGTTTAGGAATCGTATTAAATATCCACCTCCACAATTTATTTACCATATATATATAAAGAAAAGTGGGAATATGATTATTTTTTTCATACCATAATAGCTTAACTGTATTGCAACAAAAAATAAGGATCAACAGTCTCAAGTATATTGTTGATTCCAAAGTGTGCTCTGGAAATACTGTATGACTAAAACTAAACAATAATTTGAAGAACTTAGTTTTGCCTTTGAAGTATTTTTATATTTTATTCAGAATACATTAAAGCCAATTAACACATTTATCAAGCATTAGCCTGACTTTGAACTATACCGTATGTATGCTAAGAATGCCATCTAACTACAAAGAGTGAACCTGATGATACACCATTCGGATCCGTAAATCATTGCTTGAAAAAAAGCTTTACTTTATTAACAAAAAATACATTTAAAAAAGTATACACAAACATTACCCTGAAGTAGACCTAATTCAGCCATTTTGATTAAACATGCTAATTCACACCATCCTTCATTAATTAATTGATAATCGATTGAGAATGGTTTTTCTGATTCATTTAATATGTTATCTTTTCCTGTCTTCCATTGACTTTCTGGCTTTTTCTGTGTGGAATTATTGATTGTGATATCTTTTGACCAAGTTATTTTATTTTGTAATTGTGTAGTAGTACATTCATTCCTCTTTTTCAATTCATTCAATTGAACTGATTTTAAAACTTTAGAATCTTTTGGTTTATTGAATATTGGTTCATTCAAATTGTTAAGTGTTAAATTTCTAGTATTATTATAATTTGATTCTACTTCTGTCATGTAAGTAGTGGAATTTTTTTCTTGATGAGGAGTACAATTTGCAATATCTATTGTATATGGTCTAACTGGGAAATTAGATTTTGATAGATCAGTTAATAAAACAGTATTATATTCATTGACATGTGCTTTCGTTGTAAGTTTCATATGATCTGATGTGTACTGCATCATATTTATCGGCGTCGAGAATTGTTCCTTTTCATAATAAACTGACTCCTCATCATCTCTGACCTGATTTATGTCATAGTTATTACTTAGGCATTGAGATTTGGTTGAACAGTCTGATCTTAATTGAGTTTCTTCTTCAGTATTAGAATAAAATGATGAATTTTGATTTTGCATCGGTTTCAAATTTACTGAATTCATAGTTAAGTATCCTAATTTTGAAGATCCATTGCATATAGGTGGACATGACGCACAAAGGGGATCATTTTTAATAAATGATTTCTGTATGGAGAATAATTCAGGTGTATTATCCTTGATCAATATATGAGGAATCGTTGGTGTTTCATTTGTATCACTGTATTCATCTAATACAGATGTAAAACTGAACGTTGAACTCTGACTTAAATCTGGATCCATTGTACTTTTATCTTCTGGAGTCCATTTAAATCGTTTACGACTCATTTTTTGAACTGAAGGTTCATCATGATTAGATGAATTTGACAAAGAATGATTCTCTACTTTAGTTGTCTGTTTGTCTGTTAAAAGAGTTGATGCTGAATCCTGATAAAAGTTTACAATTAGTTTACATATGAAAGTGTGAGCGAGATGAGCGGTATTTTACTATTAAACAATTTGCACGACATCATCAATATACTATAATTGAAATTCGAGGTCATAGAATAACTTAATCTAGACACAATTTTTAGATAAGAATGTATTTCTCGCCATTTTAGACGGGAATCTTGGTCATGTTCAGTTTTGCAATCACTTAAGCTAGAAATGGAATAGTTAGACTGGAATAGTAACTTTTTACACAGTTAAACGTAAAATATAGTGTTTTTTTTACACATTGAAACCATTAATCAGTTGTTGTTAGACCACCAGTAGAAACCTGGGAGCACTGAACGGCCATTTCGTCCTGTTACGGGACTCATCAGCAGTGGGCATCCACGACTCCTGTGCCTCGCAGCATTCGAACCCAGGACCTTCTATCGTGCGCTCGATCTCCATAACTCTAATTGAAAAAATCGTATAATATGCTCACTAGTGACTAGCTTTTTGTGGAAATTCTCGGAGTTCTAGCCAGAACACGTGACCAATGGAGTTCAACCCTGTCGGGTGTATTCAGTGACTATCGAAGACAAATAGGTGAGGTCGCGCAAAATCGCTAGATCGATCAGAGTTGGAAATTAACACCTCTGGATTCCAGCCTAGGGGTCCAGAGGTTAGGCGTTCGCATGCGAAACTGAGGGTCCTAGGTTCGTATCCTGTAAGGTGCAGGAGTTGTATATGCTCACTGCTGATGAGTCCAATATCGGGACGAAATGGTCGTTCACTGCTTCCAGGTTTCTAATGGTGGTCTAACAATAACTAATTGATGGTTTCAATGAAGTTGTTAAAACAGTAAAGCTGGAAGATTCATGCTTACGTACTCAAGTCTTATATTATCATGACATTCAACTAGATTTAGTTAGTACACCGATGCCCCTTACATTCTTACTGTTGTTACTGACCTCAAATTAATCTTAAGGTAAAGATCATCTCCATCAGACTGTGACTTACATAATAGTCTCACTCTGTCTACAACTTATCATTTCAACTACACTAACTATGAACACAAATACTGGGTAATATGAAATTCTACTTACTTTATATTTCATCTGCATATAATCAAGCATAGATGTTTGTATTAAAGGAGTTTTAGATGATTGTTGTTCATTCATATCATTTGTTGGTGTCCATGTGAATGTCAAAGGTGATTTGTAATGTATTTTTGTTTGATTTTGTACAGTTTGATTATTCATTCTATATTTTTTATTTAATTTCAAATTTTGTTTATTTGATTGTTTTACTTTATTGACAATTGGAGTTAAAGGTAGTTTTAAATTTAGTAAAGTACTGTCATTATTATTGTTATTATCAATATCGCTTGCTCTGTTTATGTTATTCATGGATAAAGTAGGCTCTGGCCATAAATTTAACATATTATTGCTGTTGTCAACATTTCCTGTTACTGATTGATTTTGTTGTGTGATCAGTTCTGTGTAACCGATAGATAATTCTTTTTGAATTAAATTCCCACTTGGTGTGTATGGTGTAGAAGTTCGCCTACCAAATCTATTTGATAGGGAAACAAAATGATATTTCGTATGGAGATCTACACCACCTAGTTGAAGAAACAAAATCAATCGATTACTTAAAATGCACTTAATTTTTAAAGAACGAAATATAATTACAAAGCTTGATACCACAAGTCAACTCTAGATCAGTTTGTTTCTGATACAGCTTTCAGACTTTTATAACAACTTTTAAAAGTTATTGATTTACAAGAATAGTTTTATACAACGTAGATAACTAAGTTTTAAATAGGGTCATTTTTAGATCATTTTGACTTTGAAAAATTTTAATTGTCAATAACTTACCATAATTTACACTTATTAAGCTTATACGTAATGGATTCAACGATTCATCATTTGGAAGTTCTAGTTGTTTTGTAATAACGCTAATTTCTTCAGAGTTATTATACCTACAATAATAAACAGGTAATAGTTATTAGTATTAAGAGGATAAAATAACTTTTGAATTCATATCCGTAAAAATCATTTATTTACTGATTACTTAGTGAATCCACATTTAAAACTGATTACTAACTAATAGACAAAGAAACAATTTATTCGTATTACAATAGTACAATATAATAAATTAATAATCATACCAGAATTAGTTTTTATTCTTATGGACTTTACCTAGACCGACTAACAATTAGTCACGCGATAACAGTGGTTGATTCCATCAGAGTTTGTACAGCATTACATCAATTTTCGTTGGCTACGAAAATTGCATTTTGTTTCATGAAATTTTTAATTATTTTTCTAACTATGAAGCATTTCAATCTATCTAAAGGTTAGTAACATCTGAGTTTACCATATTTTATTCTTCATTATCCTATCAAACAATTACAATCTAGCAATTCACGTTGGAATTTTATCATAACAGGCTTCTCTTGAATGTGGTCGAATACAGCCAACAAAGATTTTGAACTTAGATTTCGTGCTATTCGTCATTCGTCACCAAGGTGTTTTAACACGCTTGAAGAGACTGATGCTTCTTGGTAGATTGCATTCAGTTTCACAGTTACAGACTTTACCACAGGGATACAGGTCGCTACTGATCTATATGATTGAGATGTATCAAAAATCATTTAACTAGTAAGTAATGATGAGTGTCATCATGTCAAGTTCTTCTTAGTTTTGATAGAATTCTATCGATCAAGTTACAATGTGTCCACTATCCTAAGGATCTTGATATCATGTGCACTGTGTGACATGGGATCGAACTGGCCAGAAAGCATCAGTTCCATCGAGGTTACAGACACACTTTCTGGTGAGTGCCAAGTAGCACGAAACTCAGAATAAGCAGGATGGCTTGTTGACTACTTTCAACCATCATTTTGCATATCAACATAGTACACGCAATTTTGAGTCATTTAACCTAGTGGCTGAATTGTAACTTGATCGATAGAATTTGATTGGTACTAAGAAAGACTTAACGAACGTAACATTGATCACAACTGAGTGATCAATAAATTTTAATTATTTTGTTGCCTACTATAAGTTTTAACTATGTTTCGTGATTTTTCTAAGTCAATATTGTACTTTCAACAGCTTTAAAATACATATCAGGTATTTTCAGGATTCCTCTGACAAAATTCATGAAACCCCATTTTAATAGTTTTGTGAAATAGAATGAAACAATAGAAAAATGTGTTTAAAAAATAACTTACTCCAGTAACCACTTTCCAACTAAATATTTCTTGGCACTTCCAACCAATAAAACTGCACTATCTCTACATTGATTCTTTTGACTGATAGTAAATATCAATTCAATGTATGTTGAATCGTAACTGGGTTTCTATGAAATATAAAACAAATTTCGCGTGTCAAATCTCACATTCTTCCGAATAGTGATGGTGACATTCAGGCAAATAGACATTAAACTACACGAAAAACTAGATGACAGCTATTACTTTTTTAAACTGAACTTATCAGATTGTAATTTCTCAAAAACCCGAAATAATGGACAACGTGTTAATTAATAAACATCAGTTTACAATAAAACTTTTGTAGGTACGTGAACACTTCCGCTAGAACCAAAGTAATAACCAATCAGTTATTGTGTTGACCTTTGTAAAAATATAATCACTAGCTTAGAAGCTCCAGTCTACTGTGCATTATTAGAAACAAAATTTAGTATCTCTTAAAAGAAAGACATTTTTTGCACCCCTACTGGTTTTAAACTTTTCAACTAGTTGCATCTTATCATCATGATTTACGAAAAAAAACATGTGTCTTTATTATTCAAAGTATTCAAACCATAACCCTTAAGATGAAGTGATTTTTCGATAGGAAGTAATGAATGTCTATGGTCAGATACAGCAGAAATATAGTAAGCGGTAATGAGTGGTGTTATCCAACTCAAATTAGTAATCGTTTCACCAAAACAATTAGTTTATTATCTTATCACAGTTGAGATGCTTATTCATCTTAACGTGTTAAAAATTCTGACGAATTGCTATGCATATAACTGATAAAAATATTGATAAAACATCAACAAGGTTTGTAGTGTGTCTATTTGACGAGCGATGTTTTGTGGTATAGGAATAGGGGGAAAGAAAGCTGTGCGCGGCCAAGCCAAAACTTCGCACGAATCCATGAAGTTACTGACATGTAAACTGAGTCATGTTGGTAGATGTAGGCTACCTGGTTGGGATCCGCGAGACTGATGGTTAGAGATCTTGATCGACAGGTCTCGAAATCGTTTGAAATGATGCAGGTGCATCTATTCTATCAAACAGACAACAATAAGGCTGGTAACATAAAGTCGTAATTTTATTTGCCAGTTTTGAAAAAGATTTTGGGGTCGTTTTTACTAAAGAAACTATTAATAGGGAACACGTATAAAATTTCAAAAATATTACGAACTACAAATTTACTAATATAGACCGAACCCACCAAACTGTCAGTCGCTAGTACTATTATCACTTCCTTTATTCAATCCATTGTTATCGCATCAATTTGGATTCAAGTAATGCATATATGAGCTGTATAAAATGTCTACTAGTATGATCCTTCACAAAATCTTTTTCAATTCAAAGTTATGTCAAATATGTTGATAACCACGCTTAACTGGTCGGGCAAGAGTTTTGAGTTTTTATGCCAATCTGAAATTATGTATGACATTCATAATTATAATGAAATGGGCTTCAAACCAGCATACACACAGATGAAGTATTTTTACAATCAAAATAAAATTGCTTGTTTCAACTTAAATATAGATTTTAAAGATAAATTGTAAACCTATTTTTGTCATCAAACTTTATTTGCATTTCGAAACACATGAGACATATTTTCAATTCAGTCGTGGCAAATAATAATGAATAGATTTTTTTTTGAAACCATGAATCGATGAATCAATGTTAGATCACCATTTGAAACCTGGAAGCACTGGACGGCCGTTTCGTCCTGGTATGGGACTCCTCAGCAGTGCGCATCCACTACTCCTGCACCCCGCAGGATTTCTGTTGAACTAGTAAATAGTTACATAATTCTACCTTCAAATGATTTAGTATTTTTTGTACAAGTTAACAAAACTGTAATAATTTACAAACGAATATATGTATATTACTTACTTGTTCTACTTCTAATTCATATTTAGGAATGCTATCTAAGAATTCAAGTAGTTTTCTTCCAAACGGTGGTTGCTCATTCAGAATCTAGTTCGAGTTGAAAAATTACAATCAGCAGTAATCCAATCAAAATATTAATTCGTTATTGAAACATAAAAGTTAAATAATTACATAAATCAAACTTGATTATTAATGTTGTGAAAAAATAATTTCTTTGCGGTAAGTTTGTTTATACTCCACCTATCCAATTATTTATCCATATCAATTACATGTAAATTGTTAAAGTTATTGAAATTTTATTTTCATATTATTATAATAACTAAGATCATAAATAGTACTTTAAAAAGCTAGAATTTTTGGCATGAAAAATACAAAAATTACTATTTACCTAGTCGATGAATCCTAAATAAAGCTAAATGTATGAGTATTCATTAATTATTTACTTAAATATAAGTTTAATCTAGACGTAGATAATCAAAAGATTTAAAATGTACACTAAAAAGCTCATTTGTTTTTGTGTAAGGATATTCATAAAATATCCTAGAGAGATTATTTTGTAAGTCTACTTCTATTAGTCAATATTTATGGTCGTCCTAAACTATCAAGTTCACATACTTTTCAATGTTCTTTCATATTGGTGAGTATTCACAGTCGATGTAACTGTATAAATATGCATTGTCTGTAAAGTTTTATGCTCCTCTTCTTCTGTACAGAACCTCGATTTTCTGGGTGCTTGTAGAATACACTTTCTACGCCATATCAAGACTTTTTGATACCGTTAGTGGGGGCTTGGCACTTTCGGATTAGAGTAGCCTATCGTGTCACTGGATCATTTTGTCTTAGCTTTCGTTTGCTGACTAAGATTAACTGGTAATAGTTAAAGCATATCAACTGATGAGCATAACACTTTGTTAAACAAAATGCAAGATAGATTATTCGCTATCTTTAGGTAACGAATTTTTTCAGTGAATATTCAGTAATCAAGCATAAGACTTGTTAATGAGGAAGTATTTTCTTCAGTAGATGAATTAACTTATACACAGAATTTTCTTACATTGTGTACTAAAAGTTCTTGGTCATTAATCTTTTACTCAGTTAAGTATCTGTTCAGGTTACATAGCAGTTGAAGCCATCAAATATAGGGTAGAATTGTCAGTATAGAGTGACTTTAAGATAAAAAGTTGCATGGTTTTAAACAGCTAGTGTCTTCAAATCTCAGCTATCAGTTCGATTCCTTCTCATCACATTTTTAAATACTACTTTTTTCGATAGTTAAACTCCATAAATCAATAATAACTAACTTGATGGATATATGATACTATTTTAATTGACTATCATGAAGTTCATTTTTTGACTGGTGTTTACTTCAGCTAATACAACCTGCTGATTTATAGATCTTTGAGGATACCTTTGTCAAACATCATTATTCATTTAATAGTTTTATCGTTGCATCGCCGACTTAAAGGTTGTCTTGTTCCCTATGTTTAGGAATCAGGTTTCAAGGAAATCTTTTATTTGCTACAGGCTTATGTAGCTATTATGCATCAAACTAACAAAGGAAATCAGTCAATAAAATTTGCTTAATTCGCAAAACGCTGCTGTAAGATAAAAATGTGCTGAATAGCATAACTACTTATCAGTTATCTATGAGAATAGTGCTGTCAGGCTGTAGTCTGGTTGTTCTAACTAACATCACAACAACGTGGGCTTACGGTGGAGTTTCGTTCTCTGACCTGGATGTTTTGGTTGTGGAGCTTCATCAGCACAAATTTCAGATGGAAGTGAAGTAGTCGATTTTCATCACGCATGACTCGTAGCTTGTTCTGTTGACCTCGATCTTAATTGGTTGTTATTAGCCTTAAACCTGTCGTTGTCTACACTTTTATTTTGATTGAATCGCCTTTTGATCTCTTTCTTGATCCAATGTTTGTCTAGGATTTTTCTGATTGGTTGGCAATTATATCAATGTCGATGTGTTTGTTAATTGACTTGAACGTGAAGTTTCTAAAAATTCTCTGGTGTTTTTTAAACTCCCTCTATTCAGTATTTCAACACTGTTACAATCGAATATCTGTCTATGTTGTCCGTATGTATTAATATAAGGAAAAACATGTCAAAGAGTTTGACTGCTAATTGATGTTCACATAGACGAAGCTGAGGAGTATGTCCACTTTATTCGATGTAGTGTTTTTAAAAGTTTGGACGGTTTATTTTGTTTGGTTTTTCTTCTTTTATTCATTATGGAGTTATAAAGATTGTTGTTTATTACTGAAATTATGAATTAATCATCGTTAGACCACCATTTTGTCTTTCGGTTTCTATAAGATTGATTGAAGTGATTCTGTTGGTTTATAAGCTGCACCTATTCCAAATGGTTTCAGTAATCGTGCTGCAATTGCAGATCGTGGTCAACATGATAAGCTACGAGTCAAACATGGAGAAATTGGAATACTTCAGTTCCATTTGAAGTTTGTGCTGATGATGTTTTTCAGAAGATCAATGGAAGCTTCACAAACAAAAAATTCAGCTAAATACGAAACTCCACCATAATCATCCACCTGAGCTACAAATTCTCCCCAGCATCTCACTACAGGGTCACAAATATACCTGATCATTATCTAAAGATGTTTGAAAGAGATTTATAACTCAAGTAAATGATTTTGGCGGTTTCGTCCGCAGTTCAAAGAGTGAGACTCCACCGAAACATTGCCTTATTTATATACTATAATTATTCCTCAGTGGCTGTGTTGATACACTCTCTCATTGGGTATTACAAGAATCCATCCGCTACATCTACACTGTATCGTTGAAAATTGTAGATGTAAAGAAATAAATGGTATGTAACCGTCACTACTGCAGATTAGTAATGTTGTCGACAATCATACTGTAATTACTAAGGTATAGTAAAACTCTCATTTGATTGTAGACTGTTTGCTTATTGAAATATCATTTGTTTGAAATGAAACTGCTTACAATTAAAAGATTTAAAGTTAATTTAAAGTAATGACGCTATACTTACATTTTCCAATTGTCTACATTCAGTTTGTTGTAAAGCATTACAAGTTAGTAAATTAGCTTCAATTAATTTTTCAATTTGAGTTTCAGTCAATAAAGAAGAACCATATAAATTTATCAGGGGACAATTTAACCAACGTCGAAAATTAATAGATTTACGTAATTCTAATGTACTCAACATAGATGAATATTTCATTGAGACTATGGGAATTGTTGAGTTATTTAACTTTTGTTCATGATTTTCCAAATTCACATTTGATGGACAATCAAAAAGCCATAACAAACTAGTCAGACCTGAAAGGAAAATCAACTAATTGATAGCGGTTCAAAGTATACCATTAAAATAGGAACAATTTGAAAGTGATTCGTTAACGTTATATAACTGATCACTTCATAAAAAGTAATTACTATCATCATAAAATTTATCTGAAAGTATTTTTGTAATTGAAAAATATGTGAATGATTTAAGTACGTGGGATTGAGCAGATCCTGATGAACTCAATGAAAATTCATTATAGCAAGCTTAGGTTTAATCTTCTTAATAATGAACTCAACCATCAGTTTCAAGTCAATTTCCTCTTTTATATGCTGTGGTATGTTTTACAATAACTGCTGATTTTCTAAATATTGAAAGCATTATTTTCCTCATTATTTTATGGTATTTCTTTTTCTTAACTTCAAAACATTGGAATCAGATTATAGGGAGGTCTCTTTATTTAACCATTAACCTGAGCAACACATTTTGAGTAGTTTCATTGTTGTGTAATGTTTTTAAATGGTTTTCGTGTTATATACATTCTGGACGAGAAAAGTGTATTCTTTTAGCTAATTAAACGAGTACGGAAAAGAATGTATAGCCAAGTATATTAAAAGTTTCTAGTATGCACTCTAGAGACTGTCACAAAATCATCCACGGTGGTCGGTTCAAGATCGTTAAAACCCTAAACTGAATATATTGCATCGACTGGCCTTTCAAAAGAATATACAGTATAGTTTCTAAAACTACTGAGGTTGATGGTCAATAGAATTGAAAATGACTCCTGGTATTCAATAGAACGAGATATGTTAGAGATATGATCGAGGGAAAAATAATCTGATTTAAAACAAGATGTCCTCTTCGAAACTAATCCGATAAAGAAACTTTTAAGTTCTATGTGTTCGATCAACAAATGCAAGGTGACTGATTCAGTCGACGGGCACACAATATAACACCTCGAATCCGATACAGATAACAAATCCAATACAGCAAGCTAAAATCCATTCACATATCGTATTATCTTAACTATATTCCAACCATCGATCGACTGTTCCTATCTACCACTTCGGGCTCACTATCTTAAGGCCGATTGATTCCATTAAGATGGAGTGATAATGAAGTTAATGAAATGTATACATCTAATTTATCTGAGCATAGATTCTGACATCTTAGAACATTTATAAACAATGGCGCATCGAAATTCAAGCACGGTAGTTGTTTTGGATTCATATATTTCAAACGTCTATTAATATGAACAGACGATAAGTGATACTAATAAACGATAGAAAACAGGCCTATTTAGTGAATAATGGGTGACTCAGCTTTAATATAAGAATGTCTGAAGAAAAAATTACTAAAAACCATTTGAAGTATATGTCATGTCGAGTGAGTACTGACCAATATCACCAATCAGAATCCTGATTCTCATTTGGTCCGTTTCAAGTCTACTAATTACCCTAGTTTAGTGCCTTCGGTTTTGCCAAATACACACCTGAGCAGTAGCACTAAGCTTGAGTTAATATCTGAATTCTTATTGTTCAGCTCCTTTCAAGCTCCTCTCTAGGACTAGCCGTGAGCCCATAAGTCACCAGTCAGCCTCCACTATATCTGTATTTCAAAAAGACGTGGTAAATGAGTAGATTTACTGCTCCTCATGACAATTATACATAAACAAGCCAAAAGTGGCTATAAATAGAGGAAACTGTGAACAATAAAGCACATGATAGTAGTTTATAGATTAACTGAAAGCATATGATTAATGGAATACATGGACAAAGTAATCGAATTACTTAGAAGTTGTACAATAAGTATATATGTAATAATCCATGTATTAGTTCTGGGAGTTAACATTCCTTCGACCTTTGCTCCCATATATCAGTATAAATAACATGTATATAACAAGAACTCGTAAAAGTGTACATGGTAAAGTTATCAAGGTCACAGATGACAAAGTATGTCGGAAGGTTACACAATATCTTACTGAATTAAGATGATACACTAAATGGCCAGACAAAAATAGACTAAACACGGGTATGATAAGGGATGATATGTGCTCTCTGACAACGTACTGAACTTATTTATTGATTTGAGTCATTTTTAGAAATTTAAACAGATCGGTTGTTTCCTGAGGTAGAGCAGGTACAAATGTGTGGATTGTTCGGCTATCTAGCTGGAGACTGATTAGATTTATACACGTGTAGTCCACTGTTCACAGATTTTGTAAATAAGACAACCTGGTATCTTATTGTGAGCTCTGTTTTGTAAATTATCATTCTTTATATTATTAGAAACTATAGTATCCCTGACTGTGATAAACTGTAGGTGGTTTTAGTCATTTAAACATAGAGTATAAACTATATACAGCCTCCAAAAAAATATACTTTTTAGGATTGGAACGAAATATTTCGGCTTCCTAAAACAAATTCAAAAATATACAGGAGACAGTTATTCTCAATGTCCATTATATAGGGACAGTCATCACGAAAACACTAAATTTCAGGCTTAGAAACAATATAGTAGGGATATACGATCAATGTGAAATATTCATATTAACAAAGGTAAGGAATATATTCCACATCTTGACTAGAAGATAGCAAATGCGTATAAGTAAATAAACGTACTGTTTAAAATGCGCAAAGCTGATTGTAATATTTTCTCACTTTCTTGTTTCAATGAATAGTCATTTATTGTAACTTGACCTAGCTGGGCTTGTAGTAGACAGACAACTTTTAAAGAAGCATTTTTAATTCTCGCATGAATTGGGAATCTACAATTAGCAGCCAGAAAATTGTTTTAAATAATTATTGGATAATAAGGTTAATAACTGATGATTAAGTATTTCAAAAGCTATTTAGGGTAATTAGCCATGTAGGAAAAAGGTAATGAATAACTCACTATGGACAATATTTGTTAAATGCGATAAATAAGGCCTGATTAGAAAAGTGTTTCGAAAGATTCACTGTTGCTGCCCAATGAGTAAAGTGTTGGAAACATTTGACGTAATAGTCAGTCAGCAACAACGTAGAGCTTCATCCGCATGTACATCATTTCAAGTCACCACAGCACGATAGCAAAGAGATGCAATTATCGATTTATATCCCACGGTGGTAGACGTAGTAGAACTATGAGCAGTAATCGGAAAGACTACGGCTTGAAGATGTTATTTAACGAGTATAATTTAGTGAAATAAATTTGAGAAGAGGAAGATGCAGGCTATGAGGAATTCAGATTAGAATCTAGGAGAACATAAAGAGTGGATGCACCTGCACCAAACAATTTTGAGCCATATCACTTAGGGTCTCTAACCATTGGTTACTATCTCCTCGTGGACTCCAACCGGGTAGTCTACACGTACAAACATGGCTCAGTCCAGTTGTTTGTGACTTCATGGATTTATGTCATGTTTTGGTTTGACCACCGCTAGCTTTTTCCAGTCTGTTTCCACACCATTAAACATAGCTTGTCGAGGCATTCGGTGGTTGATCGGTAAACCCTAAGACCTGTAGAAAAGAAGTTGGATTGAGACTATGTAATAAACGGAACACGACGCATACTTAAATCCCACTTCGTAATGACTGAATTGATGCTTATTTATACGAACCAATATTCACGACAACAAGGAAAACATAACAGATAAATAAAAAAACTTGTATTCTTACCTAAGACTTGATCGACCTTTGGCTCTACTTATGCCATTTAGCAGTGCCTTTTCACAATGCCTCAGGCGGATATCATTCATTTCTGAGCAACTGGCGATGAAATAAAGCTTAGGAAAAAACAGGTGTGAAATCAAAATTTATTAACACCATCCATATATGATATTTATTAGTCTTAAATGTCTAGTCAGACTAGCATATATACTAAACGTAGAAATAACCAATGACATTTAAGATTTCAGTTATAGAAGAAAAAAGTCTACCTGAATTATCTTACATCTCGCAAAATTCACTAGCGATGTTTAGCTAAATGGTTGTACATGTTTTTCATTCCCTAATGAGTTCATCTAGTCACTGAGGGTAATAGCACTAGGTAATTCGGATTTTAAGTAGCCATTGAAAAGTGGATTTTAAGTTTGGATGAATCTTTTATTAACCCTGATTTACTTTGAAGATTAGTCATAATACGCTGCTTAAACGAGAGAATTCGATACCCATCTCGGTCTTAGCAGAACTTTATCACCTTCTCTGGCTCTAGCCAAAAGGAATAATGGTGATGTGGAGATGTGGAGATTGCTGAGTTTCATGGGTTTCATGAACCGATCAACACTTGACTACCAGTCTGAACCTGGAGTCAGTGGACGGCCGTTTTGCCCTAGTATGGGTCTCCTCAGTAGTGTGCATCCAAGACGTCGCAAGCGGGAACCGAACATGTGACCTTCGATCTCGCATCTGAATGCTTAACCTCTTGATCACTGAGTTAGTATCTCATAATGGTTATGTCTAGTTTCACTCAGTCCATGATGCTGCACAGCCTTCATCCACTGTTTTTGGTTGGTTACTGTTTGATATCTAATACAGTTGGACTCCCATATAAGGATGAGATGACCATCTAGTGTCTACAGATTTTCAGTGGTGATCTAAAATTAATCCGTTCATGATTTCGATGAAACTCAGCAATCTCAACAACCCTATACTGATAATTATCATGTGCTCACGAGTGACTAGTTTCGTGAGGGAATTCTAAGAGTTCTGATGAGATGTGACGAGTGAAGTTCAAGAGCATCGGGTGTACGGTAGTTATACATCGGAGACAATGGATGATGATCACCCAATATGTTGGATTAATTAAAGTTAAATGTTGACACCGTTAGATGCCATTTGGGTGGTTGATAAGTTAAGCATTAGCACGCGAGACCAAATGTCCCGAGTTTGATTTCCGTCTATGGGGTTGTGGACGAGCACTCTTGAACAGCCCCATACTAAGGCGAAACGGCCGTCCACTGATTCCAGGTTCGCAATGTTATTCAGTTGATTGGTTCATAACCTTAATGAAACACCAGAAACAAGTCATTTCCCCTACGGACATACCTTACCAAAAAGTAAGCATGAATAGAAAAACATCATCATGACCTATCTGTCATGTTTTTACGTATTGCACTAAATGATGTATTCCGTGATAGTCATAACTATCGTGGTGAGAAACCTGATTTATTGAATAACACACATTGGTTGGCTCATTATTCAGAAGAATTCACTGACTACTACCTCTCACCCTGGTGTAAAACAGGATTTAGAACATTCAATACCTTGAAACACATTTCCTGTAATTCATTTTTAAATATGAGATGTCTAGAACTATCATCCCGAATTGCTTACACTCGATGAAGTTGCTAAGACTAACATTTCACTATTCATGCGTTTCATACAAATTCCATTGTGTTCCCACTCTTCCCTTCTTGATCTTCCCCCATTGAATTGATGATGGATTGAAGATTTGCAAATTAACGGTTACGATATGGTTTTCCTATATTACTGAGTAACTCTGTAATTTTCGTTAAATACAATTCGGTTGCCCTCACGTGTGTTCTCCTTCACTACAATGATACCTATAGTCTACCATTTTGTATTTGTTTTCAAGGCAAAAAGATATATTAATTAACAAATAAAAGTGTTATAAAGTTTCTTCGAGCTTATAATATACAAAAATTAAAACAACATTTACCAATTCTTCAATTGATTCTTCACCTGATAAATGAAACATTTTCATCAGGGTATCTAAGTGTAGATTATTTTTAAATATTATTTCACCTAAATCTAAATGTAATTTATGAAATATTAAAATGACACAAAAAAAATTATTACCTGTAGGATTAATTTGATTATTTTCTGAATTATAGTCTATTAATTTTAAATTTTGTAAATTTTTAATTTCTTTCATACAAAGATCTAATAGAAATAATTGAATAAAATGAAATATTGTATAAACCTTCGATGTAGTGATTAATATATGCATTGTCACAGTTTTCTGGTAAGCCTAAAATTAAAAGATAAGAATAACAAACAAGTTTACGTTATGTACATTTAAATAAAAAGGAATTAATTATTCAGTTAAACACAATAGTTGAAAGTGAAGTTTCTTAGTCACTGAAGTCTTTAAAAATTATTGTAGACTAATGAGTACTTCTTTAGCATTCATTATATCTTGGATCAATTACAATATTAATATACTGTTTTTTTACTATAAATTATTACTGAAGCACATGGTAGCACAATCTTTTAATGATGGTTTTGGAGAGAAATCAAATAACTACAGTGTTGTTAGTCATAGGAAATAATATTATTCAACTCCAATTGTCTTATTTGTAAAGTGGATATTCAATTTGTTTGAATTCGGTATTTTGAGATTTTAAATAGTACAGATCCCGATACTAGATTGTTTTTACCTTTTGTTTAATTCAAATTATTTTGTTAGTCTACTTATTCTTTGACCTTTCATGTACATTTCAGTTATTCATATGTTTCTCTTATGTATCTTATTTTTGTCAGTGTCAAACCAAGCATCATATTATTATGATCATATTATGATTCACTATACAAAAAGATCTAATACCGAGTCATTCAATCAGTCAGTCAGCTACAACGTAGAACTTCGTATGTACGTACGTACATCAGTTCAGGTTGCCATACCACGTTGGCATACAGAGATCGAATCGACAGTTCGAATATCATAGTAGTAGAGGTTGTAGCAGTATTAGCGTTCATCGAAAAGATTAGGGATCGAAGATATCTTTTGAGAAGCGTAATCCAGTCAAATAAATTTAAAAGAGAGAAAATGTCCTGAGGAGTTCAGAAGATTAGAGTTTGAGAGAAGACAAAGGATGGATACATCCACACCGTTGCAAACGGTTTTGGGCCATGTCATTTAAGGTCTTTAAGCATTGATTACTATCAGCTCGCGGACACCAACCATGTATTCTACACCTACGAACATGACTCGATCCACTTGTCAATGGCTTCATGGATTTGTGCCGTGTTTTGGTTTGGCCACCACTAGCTTTCTTCAAACCCACTCCCACACTATGAAACGTAGCTCGTCAAGGCAGTCAGTGGTTGGACATTCGTAATACATGTCCTAACTGCAGTTCAAAAAGAGATTTACAACTAATTTCTCATACAGAAACATTTGAATGATGGTAGTCCATAAGTAATAATAAAAGCTTATTCGTGTCGATTGTTTGAATCAATCCACTGACGTTTAGAGCTGCAATTAATCAGTTTCTTTGGTATGCTAATAATTAATAGAAACAGTCATAAGAGATGATTTAACTTTGATAAAAAAACCACCGAATCTATTTTTCTAAGGTTTTATCTAAATACTAACTGCATGTTAATGAAGTATTTCGGTTGTATTATATGCCTACTTCAAGTTCCTAGACTTCATTCAAGATCTCACTCAAGCTAACTGCTGAAATGGACTGTCATTTTTAAAAATCTTGAGCGTTAATTTATAAGAACTTGGTGCCCTCCTTCATTTTAGGTTTCCTATAGACTTTTCAGCCTCACTGACAGTTGGAGGACTTACATCCGCTTGCCATTCAGGTTGACTGAAGATTATAGGAAACCAAAGTGTGGCTGAAGGCCAGTTGAACTGCTTCTTGAAATGTTCTGCCCATCGATCAGACCTGCTGGATTGAGAATAATTAATAAGCTCATCGTTTTCCGAGATCGTCTCGCTAACTGTCGGATTCCCAGTACCAGTTTCCTTGATAAGTTTCAACAGTTGTCTACTGTTACCTATTGCCTCTGTCTTTTCCATCTCTTTTGCTTTCGCTACCCACCACTATCCATGACCATTACGTAGACCAAGTCATTGGAATATGGTTTAGGCTTAAGTGAGTGATTGCATTTCACTGAACTCACGATACGGTAAAATCATAATCAGTGTTAACCAAGGAGAGCTGTGAGAGCACAAAACCAATATTACTATTAACTTACGCATCAATTAACTTCAAAGTAACTTGAAACTGATCGTTACATTTGACGTCATTTGTTTAAGGTTAATTAAATTAAATTATTTATATGTTGTTTAGTGTTATTCAGCAGTTATCTATCCATAAATGAAATTTTTTGATTTTCAATTTAACATATCTCCATTTATTTTTGATTAACGTCTTTGAATGTGTTACCACGATATGATGCTTTTCCATGAATTTAAAACATCTATTTTAAAGCCCCTAATATGTAGATAGTATCAAACACTTAGGAATTTTTCCCCTCATCTGACAGGTCAGTACCACATACAAGAGAATAATTTTCACTGAGGATTTTGCTTCAAGCTCTAAACCTCACTTTCCTTACTTTTTGATCTAGAAAGTGTTCATGGAAGGCATATATAATTAAATTTAGATGACCGAATTGAAATCTTCAGTGAAAATATTGCTTATATATTCGGTATTCACCCACTAAATGAAAAAAGGAAGCTCAGAACTCCTGTATGCTGTAGGTTTGCTAAGCATTAAAGAAACAAATTGAACTAAAAGAGCATTTTATATAGTTAACTGTTTATATTTTTACTAATATTGATTCATTCTGGCGAAGTATGGATTTTCTCCACTTTTTCAAGTCACAACTTGAGCAATTATTTGTAAACACTTTAGTTAAATACTTCTTAAGGTTGTTAAGTTGCAGTTACTGAACTGCATCGATGAACTGTGGACCATTTATTAACGTATCATACACTAATAGCAAATACTTCATGAGAAAATATAATATTGTTGAAAATCTCTTTCCTGACTTCAAATCTTCTCCATCACCGCATTATATTTGGAATTATGTATCTGTTAGTTCACTGATGTAAATGGTTGTTTTCAGAGTTATACGTAATAATAATAATAATATTAACAGTGATTTTAATTTAGAAAAATAACATAAATTTACACTACATAATCCATAATTATAGATAAACATACCGTAAAGTTGAGGACATTTGTTTAATCGAACGTAGAAAAATGTGTTTTTAATCCACTGTAAAATACCGCAAAAATCTTGAACTGTTTTTAAAATAATTTCACATAGTAAATGTTCCGTTAAACGTGGTTCTAAGCTATAGAATAAAAAAATAACAAAGACACTATTTCATACTGTGTTAAAAGAAGATGGTTCGTTTGAAAATTCTACGTGCATGGTGATAGATTCCTAGAGACAGATTGACTAACTAGTAATCCAATGCTTCTTTAGAAATGTTTAAGAGATGAGATTTATATAACTTTCAGAGTCATTTTTAAATTTAATGGTTATGGGTAATAGCAAAAACATTTATTTGTAAAAGAGTTAGTCCAGTAAATCATACTTACCAACTGTTAATTTCATCACATTCATTTAGTAGCTTTGTATAATGAGCCTGAAAATGTGATTATTTAGACTTGTTGATAACACAAACTTTTAGATTAGTTGTAGTCATAATAACTGCAATCGCTTCATCATCAAACTGAAATGAAGAAAAATCAAACGAAGAAGCTAATCAAGTGCCAGTGGACATTGGGAACTCAGTATATAGTCATGTAACTTAACAAATTTCAAGATAACTTAAGAAGTTTTTGAATTTTAGACATTTTTAGTCTAATTTTAAGACAATTCTTTTACTGGTATGAATACATCTTGAATAGAATTAGCTAATAATTGTAGTTGAAATTGAGATAACTACATTCTGTGAGTGAACCATTGCTCAAATAATTCTTTATTGCACTAATAATGTCTCTAAACGACTACATTTATTCTGAGTTGTCAAGTCGCTTATTACACGGTAGTCCAGCAATAGTAGACATGAATTGTACACCTAGCGTTGTTTCATTTTTGTAGATTAATGAATCGAACAACATCGTTAAAGCTTTCTACTTAAAAGAAGGGAAATTTAAATGCAGGAACAAAAAAGGATAAAACGAAGTCTTTAAAAGAAAGTAAACTTAACAAGTTACCGATACAATATAGGGACCATAATACCATACAAGTTGAGATTTTGGCTTAGTTCTTCTTTCATGAAAGTGCTTTTGCCTAAAAAATCAAACAATCGATCCGCTTTTTGAGAGGAATTATTCAATATATCTATGAATTTTTCAGTGTTTACTCTTCTTTTTTCTTGCAAACATAATAAATAGGAGATATACCAACAAGCGGACAAAGGAAAAGGCACCTAATTACCTGTGGACGTCCTGCTCTTCCAACCATCTGTGATAATTGTGTTGAACTATACCCGACTAATTCACCATCAACCAACTGTTCAGTGTTCTTTATAATAACCAAGTGAGCTGGCAAATTAACACCCAATGCTAAAGTAGACGTGCAGGCTTTTTGAAAAGTGACAAAAAATTATATAGAAACAGATTACTTAAGACAGAGATGCAGCCTGATCTAAAGGCATCTTCAACAAGTTTTCTATCTTCTACATCCATTCCAGCATGATGATATGCAACACCGTTCAACAGAGAATCTAATCATAATTTTAAAAAATGTTGAGCAGGAAAAAAAGAGATGATAATTACTTTAAAGATCGGTTAATTGGTAAAGGTCTATATCATTTAATCAAATTTTTAGAATTCAGCATAAAGTAGACTAGTAATCTTTAAAGCTAAAATACATTACTATAAGTTTAAACCTCAATTTTGGTTGTCATTGCTGGAAATTTCTATCATAATCAGTAACATACTTCTTTCATTATGAAAGAATACTACACTAAAATAGTTCAAAAATGATCGATGTGCTCTGGGGTGAGATAAAACTAGGACATAAATCAAGATTTAGAAACATTTCACTAGTTACTGGCAAGAATCCTAAAATTTAAAATAGGTACATCCCTAATAAAGCAATTTATTCTTTTGAAGAAGATTAGATTTGATTTAAACAAAACTATAGAATGAGTATCTGAAAATCTGAAAGATAAGTGATAACTCTTAGTTTACGGACCGTGGTACCTGATGAAAAACCTTGTGAATTCTGTGTAAACGCTTCTGGAATCCCGTTATCTGTGTTAAATAATTAATTTAAAGAAAGTGATTTGTAAGCATTTTTCATTTATTCTCTTTTAGTAAAAATTAAACTAACTGCTAAAAGCGAAAGTTTTAATTTTTTTGTAAGTTGTTTTGATTGAAAAATAGGACACGTTATAAATATAAATGTTTATATATATATATATATATATATATATATATATATATATATATATATATATATATATATATATATGAATATAAAAAAGTGGTTTGTTCATGGATCTTGATTTAAAATTTCAATTATGGGTAAAACCTGATGGCAAACATCTGCTCAAACTTGGGTCTAACTTTCCGAGATAAAGAAAAAAAGATTGAAAATGACCTAAACCCTGAATAACAATTCATCACTTTGTATCTGGAATAAAAAAGAGCAATTATGAATCATAAATTCTTGCACCTAAAATACTTTGACAATGGTTTTTAGCTTGATTTATAAAGACTCAGTAGTGTTTTTTTTTGTTGTGCTTTATCCTTGTACTCTAAAAACAGTGCATTTCAGTGAGTTTATGAACACAAAACTTATTCCATAAACGTAGAGTCTATTCACTCGGCTTTCCTTATCCAAAATTCTGAGCTGTACTTGCAAAATAATAATTCTGCACTACTATTCTTGTAAATTTATCCTAAGTATCGAAGGGTGAATTCTAAAAGTTAGATATATTTATAAAATCCTACAGGGATAGAAATTTTGTTTAATTTTTCAAAAAGTGCGGATTAAATGGCTCACTTTTTAAGATGTATAATGTGTAATAAAAGGTACTTATATTACAATTCAGTTCAAACAAAGTTACTGAGTTATAATATTTATTTCTTTACATCCAAGAGAATTAAGGTAGATAGCGCCTTAGGCATCTAAATCAAAAGACATTTATGCTTACTTAGAAACTCCCTTGTTGATTCGAGATATTCAGATAATCAAACGAACAAGAAAGCAACCTTATTTAATTACAGGTTTGAAGTAAAAAGTAAACTAACCTCAGTTTTATCTAAAAATTAACCTCTCATCAGTAGTAAATACAATGACCTATTTACATTACTGTGTGTAATCGTGACATTTAATTCATAGTTGATGTCCAGTATTTGTCCACATTAGCATGCAAAGTATGCTTTTGTCTTATTCTGCAATTGGATTACTAACAAAATGTTTTCCAGGCTTTCTGATTCACAATGTAACTATAAGATAACTTTAGTCTGCCACGTTTGAACTCATATTATAAACTTGATAAAATTTTCTAGTCCATCTTAAAACTATACACATGCATTTTGTGATAAAGCGGTTCCCTAATCACATGAGTAGAACCGAATACTCAGTGGCTTGTTTTTATAAATTTCAGTTCTAATTGGAAGTAAATGCAAGTGCTTTGGTGCATAAAATGTATCCACTACGCTATGTTCACATCTGTATATTCACATTATCCGCCACAATCACATATTCATCTCCTGAATTTTTATGACATCGTTATATTATTGAGAAGTTTAAATTTCAACCACCGTCACCTGTCCAAAACTTGTTCTACTTACTTCAGTCTTGAGTGCTGTTTGGTATTAATCAAACCCCACAGTTAAAGTATATATTAGGGAAAAGGACACAAACATTTACCCGTTCATTATTTAGTAATAGCCCTTATGATTAAAACTAGCTACGATTGACTAGTGTCCCTCTAGACTGTCTATATATTTTAAGCTGAGTCATTCAGCAATAGGTTTTGAAAATTTTAAAAAAAATATTCATAAGATAGTTATATGTATCGCTGGCTATAACTGTGCACTCTATTTGGAAGCTTCTAGGTATAAAACCACACATTCATAAACGTTGTGGATGTAGGTTTTATGTTAATAAAAATATATGGCGCTTAAGAATTCTACTCTGAAAATTAAGCTCCCGAGGTATTTTAATTTAAAGACGTATAATAAAAGTTCCTAACCTTTTAAATGAGTATTCCTTGTATTTTGAGCGTAAAATCTCCGTTTTCTAGCTGTATCAGAGTTTACAGTAAAGTGAAGTTGTTTCAAAAGATCTGCCGCAGTTCTAACAGCACCACTTCTAGTTGTACAAAACTTAATATAGTTCGTATAAAAAATTAGTACTCACAATCAGCACTGGCTTGTTACTAGAATATGTACTTATAATATAAGGAAGTCTGTAGTTTAAATTTGCCTCAAAGTGAAAAATGGACTGATTTTTCTGTCTTATGTATCCATGTACTACTTTTCTGAGTGGTGACATTCTAAACTCTTCTCCAAATCTATAAATTATTACCAAGGTTTCAAACTCACGAAAAGAAAGAGACAGATTCATCTGTGACTGATAACCATTGAGCAATCTGGATTGTAAATAAAAAATAATAGAGAAAACTTATCATACATCTTGCGCATTCGATAGAGAAGCGGAAGCACATATAAATCGCGGGCTTGCTAACATTTTAATTCTTGTAATAAGAACTTCTAGTATTGATCCCCTGTCAAGTTCTGCAATTAAATGTACCTAAAAGAACGTCTGGGAAAACAAACTAATTACTTCATCAATAAAACACAATTGCAATTTCGTCCATGTCTCAGTTAAGTTTCTGGAAGTTTTAACAGTTGAATTTAGTTTTTCCTAAAGTATGTATTTTTGTTGCAAAACCGGACAAAGTAATACTGGTGTTGTTATGAGTAAAATCTGACCGTCAAGGTTCTGAATATCGATGAATTCTGAATCTCCTGTTGACGTCAAACAAGTGAGTGAAAACCTTGAAAATTTTTTATTCCATTCACTGAATGTTTGCGAACAAATAGCTTTGGTTGGGGCAACTAGCAATATCTTGTTGTATTTGTTTGACATACTGTAAATTATGATGAAAGAATCCTTTTGAGATGACTTTTCGCATTCATCCAACTTCTTGACAATTGCCAGCTCGAAAATCACAGTTTTTCCTGAACCAGTTGGAGCGGAAACAACAACTGATTTGTTGGTCATAAAAATCTAAGAGATAATAATGAAAATCAACAAACCTCACGGCAAATAAGACTTTGTATACTGTTAAAATAGGAAAAGTCAAAAACACTTTTAAACGACTCTGGAAAGATGGAATCCATTATATTCGAATCACATCAGTGTTTTCAGTGTTATTTATATGCACTAACAAGCTTCAAACAAACTGACTTATACTAATCAGTGATGAATAACTGCAGAATAAACTGGAAGCAATCTATTCAATTATATGGAACTTTCGATTCTATAGAGTTCCTAATTGTTCGAGCAGCAACTACTAATGTTAGTTAATTTTGTGTCTTTAATTTTCCATTTCAATATCCAATATATCCACTATCTAATGTCCAATATCTTTTTCATGAGTTAATATAAACCAATTGCTTTCTTTACACTTTACCCTTGTTCTTTTGGTACGGTTCAAAGTATCTATTACTGTCCAAAGGACGGTCGTTAAGCCACTTTATTGCAATAATTACAAGCATTCCGCAGTAATTTATGAATTCCCATGTCCCGTGATTTGACTGAGTGCATTTGTTTCATGGCAACAATGTTTCTGGATACCAGCAGCTACCACGTTACCAGGCTGCAGATCAGTTTTTTGTATTGTAGAGGTTAATAAGAAAATTCTAATGCTGATATGAAGATTTCAGAAGTAGGTTGTCCTTCAGACCCATGCTATGTGAAGACTGAAGGCATATGACCGGCATTTTCGAAACCTGTGTTCAAAACCATATGGCGAATACTGTCACATCCAGTGGACTTTCCTGGGAGCGGTATTTTTCGTTTTTTAAGTCGGATATTCCCTCGACTGCTAGCCAGCATTACGTTTCACTAGTACTCTCAATATTTAGGAACCTGGTTTAACTGACCGGTGAAGTTTGTGTTAAAGATCTCAACCAACTCTATAACTGCAATATCTTCGCCATTTTGATCTTTGAAGATACGAAAACCCTGGTTCGTGGGTTTCTATTTAGTCATGGACCTGAATAAATATTTTGGGTTTACCTGTATTTCAGCAACTGGCTTCGTCTGGTAGTGTAGCCCATCATTTCAAACCTTGGCACTGAATTTGTTTCTCACTCTCAATTACGAACCCTCCACTGGTGTCAGGCTCGCATTTTCCCATGTAGCGAGCGTTTGGAGCCTCGCTTAAGCCATGTTATTCTCTTCTCCAGTTTGTAATGTGCCAGAGGTACACTGTCTAGGACAACTTTTGGATGTTTCAAGAGAAAGAAACCTGAGACAATTGTACGATACAACAAAGAAGCTTGCTCGGAAATCATCACAAACCAGAACAACCAGTGAAATGCAAGGAAGGCAAAGCAATCAACAGCAGTGAAGAACAGCGAAATGGGTAGGTACAGCACCTTAAGGAACTCTTGAATAGAACAGTTCCATTGAACACACCTAACATCGAAGGAGCATCTACGGACCACTCAATCAATGTTCTCACAGCAACAATTAAAGAGATCAGTATGGCGATCAAACAAATCAAGAGCGGCAGGGCGGCAGGACCAGGCAGGATCTCGTAAGGATCGAGCGTTTACTGACCGAATTGCAGTAATACGGATTATTGTGGAACAATCAATTGAATGGAACCTACCACTCTACATCAACTTCATCGACTACGAGAAAGCATTCGATAGCGTGGATAGGAAAACACTGTGGATGCTTCTTCGACACTAAGGTGTGCCTGAGAAGATAGTTAACATCATACGGAACTGTTATGATGGATTCAACTGCAAATCGTACACGAAGGACAGCTAACAGACTCTTTTGAGGTGAAGACCGGTGTGAGGCAAGGTTGCTTACTCTCACCCTTTCTCTTTCTCCTGGTGATCGACTGGATTATGAAAACTTCAACATCTAGAAGAAAGCACGGTATCCAATGGACAGTTAGGACGCAGCTGGACGATCTGAACTTCGCAGATCACCTGGCTCTTCTATCGCACACGCAACAACAAATGGAAGTGAAGACGACCAGTGTAGCAGCAGCCTCAGTAGAAGCAGGTCTCAACATACATATAGGGAAAAACAAAATCCTCCTATACAATACAACATGCGCCAACCAAATCACTCTTGATGCACACGCCTTGGAGGACGTTAACACCTTTACATATCTGGGCAGCATCATTGACAATGGTGGTGGGTCCGATATAGATGTGAGGGCGTGGATCGGCAAAGCAAGGGGTGCATTTCTACAATTGAAAAATATCTGGAACTCCAAACAGCTTTCAACCAAAACCAAAATCAGGATTTTCAATGCAAATGTAAAAACAATTCTACTGTATGTGGCGAAAACTCGGAGAAATACGAAATCCATCATCCAGAAGATACAAGTATTCATTTACAGTTGTCTATGCAAAATACTTTGGATCCGATAGTCAGACACCATCAGAAACAACTTACTGTGAGGAAGAACAAACCAGATTCCAGTGAAGGAAAAAACCAGGAAGAAGCGGTGGTAGTGGATAGGACACACAATATGAAATGCACCCAACTGCGTCACAAGACAAGCCCTTACATGGAACCCCTCAAGGTCAAAGGAAAAGAGGAAGGCCAAGGAACACATTACTCCGAGAAATTGAGAAAGACATGAGAGGAATGAACAAAAATTGGACAGAACTAGAAAGGAAAGCCTAGGACAGAGTCATTTGGAGAAAACTGGTCGGTGGCCTTTGCTCCATTTCGGGCGATAGGCGTAGGTGATTTCAAGTAAGTTATAAGCTTAAGTAAGTAAGAAAATAAGTAAATGTTCGTACCACCTTAGACATGATTTTTCCGAAATATATATCTTCGCTTGTTTTCAGTTCACCTATTTCCCCTACCTTATTGAGGTGGTGCGAATTTGGATAGGAAGCGGCTTTACAGACGTTTTACATGCTATATTATTTTTCATAATTCTTTCGCCATAGTTCCAGACTATGTATGGTCTATGACTGTATATAGCCATGTTTTCTGCATAAATTTTATCACTTCTCAAACCGTGGTTCAAGGGAGTTATGTATCTCTACTCAGTCATTTATACCGGCTTTAAAGGTGAGGATAAATTATTCAGCTTCTAAAGCTTAGGAATTTATTTACAGGTGTCGGCAAGATTCCTACCGGGACTCAGGTATTCATGCGTGAGAAAGTAAGCTTGTTCAGATAGCTTATTTTGAATAATAAGTTCTTCTATTTTTGGAAGATATTGTAGTTTAATATCAATCTCTTAATTTTTTATTTGAAATCGACAGGTTACTCTACTCACTGGGCGGATCGACACTGTTCAACTCTAAACTGATTGATAAGAACACACTCTACTCTCCTGGGCGCAACCTTATCAACACTTACAACTGTGTGAGTTTCACACATTGTTCATAGTTACACGCTATTGACTTACCTTGATCCCTTAGTGTTATCTATTGCTCAACTTTTAACCGTGATACTCTTTATATCTCCTTCTTAGCTAGTTAAGCACATCTCCCCCACAACTTCCCAAATGTTTATATCTTGTTTAAAAATCCGTACTATTTCTCCATAACTGTTAACTGTATAGTATTGATGCCTAACCAATAGTTCATAAGTTGTAACAGCCAGACAAGTTTGTGAAAGGAACTTGCAGAAATAGTGTTTCTCAACAGGATGCGAGACATAGAACACCAAGTTGAACTCAACAGCTTCTCTAAACATTTAACACGAGCCTAACGACACAAAATGAGGGAGGGTGGAGTTACTGACCAGCAACTATTGATGGTGTGGGCGATAACTTCTAACAACCCATGTTTGTGGGGCAGAACATTTTGTTTGCTTTCGGCTCTTTAGATTGATGAGACGACTAATCAGTAACACTGAGGTTGCTCTTATACGCTTGCTACTTCAGTGGTTCATGTTTCCAAAACTATGCTGAGGTCGCTATTCTGTCGAGACACCTGCAACATTCTTACTCAGGCGCTTACAGTATGACTTAGAGGTTGGCATTCAATAATAAAAATAAAAACAGTTAGACAGTGCGAGATTTTATTTTTACAAACTCTACTCTTTCGATTTCGACGTACATAAATCCAGCTTCTTGATCACTGGTCTGGAATGGATACGGCATCTACCCAACGTGTAGCGTTTACAAGTTCCCGATCCTGGAACACGGCGGCAGGCACACACTCGATAAATTGCGACGCCAAAGACTGTGCCCCGCCCACTCCTCACGGCGCAATTCGGTGAGCTCCACAGCAACCACCATCAGGTCACCTTCGGCCGACAGCCGCGCCACCCGGAACCTCTGCGGCGCCTCCTCCCTGTCCGCTGGGCTGTCGAACTCCATCATCAGCCGCCCGGTGACTGTCTCCCACGCCGTCTCCCCGGCGGCACCGCCCAGGCTGTCGCGTACCCCCTCCGCCTCCCCACCCCGCACCCTCCCCAGCACCGTCAACCCCGCCCCGGGCCCCCCCCAGCCCCACCGGGGCCCAAAACTCCTCCAGGAAGCTCCGCCAATCTCCGTCCTGCAACTCCTTCGGCCATGGGAGCCTTTTCCTTCGAGCAGGCAGCGACACCAAATGTAGTGAATGAGAACACAGGTGGGGCAACCGAATTGTATTTAGCGAAAATTACAGAGTTACTCAGTAAAATCGGAAAACCATATCGTAAATCGTTCATTTGCAAAAGATCAGTTCATCCTATGGAACTGGACTGTTCCTGTTGCCAAACATCAATCCATTGTCACTATTTATGCGTTTCATACAAATTCCATCGTTTTCTGACTCTTCCTTTCTTGATCTTCCCCCCATATTATGCTACCAGACTTTACGTTGACACACACGTCATATACTACTTATAAGTAGTTCGCACCACAGCACCACAGAGACACCCGCAACATTCTTACTCAGGCGCTTACAGTATGACATAGAGGTTGTCATTCAATAATAATAATAATAATAATAAACATTTAGACAGTGAGAAATTGACTAGTAGGAATTAACCAATAGGAATTGACCGATAATTCTCTTAAG